CTCAGGCTCCTTCAGGTACAGGAGGGCCCCTGAGCTTGAAATGACCACCTCCTTAAATGTTGCACCCTGCGTGCTAGCTAGCCCCAACCCAGACTGATCCCTGCCCATCCTCCTGAGACCCAGAGCCCTGGAAACTGCAATATGGGAGACTGGCTGGAAGCACTGCCCACAGTCCCTGCTGAAACCTGCCGCCCTGGTCGGCACCACTCTGGAAGGGACGCCGAGCACCTTAATATCTTGGCAGAATTCCTCCGAGGAGGGAAGAGGCTGGTTCTGGGCCTGGAGCCAAATGCTCTGGTTGCTCTGTGTCCTGGGCACCTGATGAAGGTCTGGCATTCTAGGAGCCAGCCGGGACAGACCTGGCTCGGGGAACAGACATGCGACCTGCACCTCAGTTTCTATTCTTATAAAAGAGGGCTGGTCCCCACTCCCACCCCACCATAGCAAAACTGCGAGGACCAAATCAGAAAAAGCATCAATGACTCCGTGAACTCCGCAAGTCTCACCAACACTAGCAGCTGTTGGCATTTTAAGCTTGGCGTCATTAGAACCAAAGCCTGAGATGATTGCAGAGATGTGGTCCATTTATCTGGGAGGTGACCCCAGGAAGCCCCGGCGTCCTGCAGGGGGCGCCAAAGAGCAGACAGCGCCGCGCGTAACCCGGACTCCATCCCACTAAGGACCTTGCGGAGATGGCATAGAGCACACATAACTTGGTCCCCCACCAGGGGCGAGGGGGCTGTGGTATTGATCCTCTTATCACCATCAGGCATTAGCCGAGAGTGGCTCCCGTTGGGATTGACCCCTCACAATTTCGGCCTTTTCTATGCACCAATCAGACACGTTCCTGTGGCCCCCAGGAGGCCACAGGAGGCCCCAGGCCGAGGCCGAGGCCGAGGCACAGGTATTTGCTGTGAGTTATCTTCATCACATAGAGATGTCTGTGGAGGGGAGGAAGGCACATAGCATCTGTTCCAGCTTCATGGCATTTTCACAACAGCAGGCCTAAGGAGGATATTGAAAGCACCTGACCGTGCTATTTTGTGGTTGAGAAGAGCTGTTGATTTTGGAATGCTTGCCATGTACCAAGGACCCTGCCTAACTCACACAAGTATCAACATTGTTGCCCCAGTACAACTGGTCTCTCTCCTTTACCTCTGCACCTGAAAACTTCTGAAAGTGGCAGATGTAGTCGGGGGTATGCTGTGATGATGACATTTAGAGCAGAAGGCCAGATGCTACCTTGAGGGAGACTGCTCAGAGCAACAAAGGGCCCATTTCCCCCAGAGAACACTTTATTAAAACACTTTTTTTAAAAAACTCTTCGTCAGGGAGGGAAATTGCTCAGTGGTAGAGTACAGGCTTAGCATGCATGAGGTCCTGGGTTCAATCCACAGTACCTTCATTAAATAAATAAATAAACCTCATTACTTCCCCCAAAAGAAGTGAGTCTACACTAGATTCAGCCTACCCTTAAGGGGAAGATTGGATTACCAGGCCTGGATATCAAGACACAAAGACCAAAAGTCCCCCAAGGGGACCATCTCAGTAGCTACGTAATGTCTTGTGAATTCTCTGCCCCAAGACAAATTAAAACAACAGATGAATAAGGAAGATGAGAAAGCGGGGTTTTCTATACAGCATGAGTCAGCTATTTTCAGTTCGGATTTCTAAGCTGGCGAGAGAGCACAGGATAGCTAAGAAATTCCAGCTGGTGAGACAAATGGCCAAAATTAATGAAATTGACAATGCCAAGTGTTTGAAGACATGGAGCCACTGAAATTTGCTTCGGGTGGGAGGGTAAATTGATACAATAGCCTTGGAAGTCTGCTTGGCCATATCTGCTAAAGCTGAAGCTAGGCCTCCCCTACCACCCAGAACTTCCACTCAGGGTATTTACCCAACAGGAACAAGTGTATATTCACCAAAAGACATATACAAGAGTGCTCAGAGCAGTTTCACTCAATGGCCAAGAACTGGGAACAATCTGAATGTCCATTGACAGGTGAACAGACTGCAGTATATTCACACAATGGAATACTACTCAGCAATGAACAAGAAGGAATTGCTGATACAGACAATACCCCTAGATAAATGTCACAGACATAATAGTGAACCTAATTAGCCAGCCTCAGGAAAGAGGACTTGTTGGGGCCTTGCCCTTAGGTCAAGTTCAAGAACAGGCAGAATGAATGATGGGGTAGAAGCCAGAAGCTTTGAGGGTTTGGCTGGGAGGGGGCCCAAGGGGATGCTCAAGGCTGCCACAGATCAGCGCTCTGATCTGGGGGTAGAGAGAGCAGTAGGGGCCACAGCTGAGCTCTACAACATTTGAATACAAGAAGCATGGAGCTTGCCACTAACAGAGGCCACTCGGACTTGCATCCTCCATCCACTCTGCTTGGACTTTGGGCTGCAGAAACCTTCCAGCTGAGGATTTTCAGAGCCAGGAAGCATTTATGCAACAGTCAGCAGGGGCAGCTGAGAGAAACAGCCCCACATGAGTTATCCCTCAGAACTATCCTATGAAGGGAGGGCTGTTGAGATTCCCATTGTAAAGGTGGAAAAACTGAGGTACTCAGGGTCTGGTGAGCATTTGAGCTACATTTCTCCAGAAATGTCCCTCTTAGTCCCCAGAATGCCTGGCTCAGTGCCCAGGAGTGAGCAAATGGCAGGATAAGTCTTCCTCTCCCTTGACTGTAGCCCAAGATGACATAAGCTTGGCTAGAGCTCTTAGGATTGATGTGGCCCAAGTTAGGAGTTGGGGGTTTGGGGCACAGGCCCCAGTGGGACTTACTGGCCTCTTTGTGAGGCTGTTCCCAGGCCCTGTGAGGCTCAAACGGTTAGGATTTTGCAGTCAGTGACCTGGCAATGACAGTTGGTCCAGTCGGACCCAAAGTCAGCTTGGTTCATCCAAGGGCCCCTGGTTACACACAGATGCCCTGGAAAGTGATCCGGGGCCGGTTTCAGGGTGGCTGAGATCACAATCAGGGAGAACAAACAGCCTTTGCTTCCCGGCTGGATCAAATTCCAAGGCCGGCGCCGGACCAGCCTGGGCTGGGCCTGGTAGGTGCTGGCTGTGCCCAGAGGGAGAGATTTGGGAAGGTATCTTAGCACCTGAGTTCTAGTTTTTTCAAAGAAGCTGAAATATGTGTGGGAGGGGGTATATTTTGCAGTCTCCCCTCATCCACCTCTCCAGCATCGTTCACTATCTCCACCCTCAGACTCGCAAGGCAGGGCTATACCTCCCCCATCGGACCCCAGGGCAGGACTTTGCCTCCTCCCTCAGACCCCAGGGCAAGGGACTCTCGTCTCTTGGACCCCTGTGCAGGGCAGCGTCTGCCCCTGAAGGTCCCCAGGGCAGTGCTGTTAGATACAAGATTCTAGGTGGGTGGCATATCCTGGCGAGGCCCCATGTGACCCTTTCTGGCCAATGAGCTGTAAGCAGAAATTTGACAAGACACTTGCAGGCCAGAGTATTTAACTGACAGCGTGAGACCTTTCTGAGTCCATCCCCACTATCTTGGAGGGATGCTGGCCACTCCTTCAGGTGTATTTCCACATGACTACAACCAGCAGCCAGTTGCCCTGGGTACATGGTGTGACTGAAAAATAAGCCTTCACCTTAAGCTGCAGAGATCTGGGGATGCTCTTGACTGCAGCAGCAGCTGGGCCACCCTGCTATGGGGACCCAGGGAAGAAAGCCGAAAAGGAAGCCCATATGTGAGAAAGAAGGCATGAGCCTGGGGTGGTTCATTTAACATATACAGTTGAACTTCACCATTGGTGGAGTCTGTATTCGTCAATTCTACTGGCTAAAATTTATTTGTGACCACCCCCAAATCAAGACTCACAGTGCTTTTGTGATGATTGGTGGATATTCACAGAGCCAGGTGAAATTTGAGCCACCAGAGGTACATGTTCCCAGTTGAGGTGGGACGAGGTGATGCTCTGCTTTCCTGTTCCAGCTCTCTGACTGTAGACAGGTATTCTTTTTGAGGTCTAGCTAGTGGCACATTTTTCATTTTGGGGATTTTTTTGGGGGGAGGGGAGTAATTAGTTCTGTCTGTCTGTCTGTCTATCTATTCCTTTCAATGGATGTACTGGGGATTGAACCCAGGACCTCACGCATGCTAAGGACGCACTCTACCACTGACCTATACCCCCGCCCCTGGCCCCATCCTTTTTTATTGGTGATTTTGCCATTTGAAAAGGCCCCCAAGTGTACTGTTGAAGAGCTATCTAGTGTCCCCAGGAGGAAGAAGGCCAGGATGTGCCTCTGGAGGAAATATTGTTTGATGAGCTTTGTTCAAGCATGAGCTTATGCTGCTGTTGGCTCTGAGTTCAATGTCAACAAATAGGCAGCATGTACTAAACAAGGTGTTTTGAAACACACAGAAAGTAAGGTTACATACTGATCACTTGACAGAAATCTGACCAGAGGTTTACAGGAACGTACCCGGATCTCCCCGAGGAATCCCTTATTTCCTAATTCAGTTTCCCCAAGACCTTATAGGAAGTAACTGCCGCCATTCACGAGAATCCACCGTTTGCATCCACCACACAGCGGAAGAAAGGGGATGTATAGAACTGATGGCTTGGTGGTTAAGACAGCAGGCTCTGGGTTCAAATCCCAGCTGTGAATTTAGCCAGCCCTAGCCTTGGTTTCCTTATCTTTGAAATGGCCCCAAAACCAAGGCTTCCCACTGGGGCTGGGAAGGACTAAATCACATACTGCCTATCAGGTGCTGGGATGTGGTACACGCGGTATAAACTGTAGATGTTACTATTACTACTGTCATGTGCAACGATGGAGGGGCGGGACCTAGTCTTGTCTGTGATCCAGAATCCCAAGTCTCAGTTTCTCCCTCCATAGAATGGGAGTGGCAGCAGTGCCCCCCTCCCCTCGCTGATTTCACCTACTTGCTTGGTGTGCATCCGCCCCGGCTCGTGCTCCATGTGTGTTGAAGATTACGAGCCACAAAGGACACACAGCCAGGATGGAGACTACAGATGGCACAGACAGCGTAGTGTTTATTACCAGGAGGATGCCTGCATGGCCTCCAGGCATCAGAGTTTTGACACAAGTGACTTGAAGGCACTGGTTTCCGTCCAGCCCCAACCCCTGCCCACTGGGCAGGGGGCCCCATCACCAAGCAGACCCAGTCCCACCCCCTCTTCCAGGGCTGCAGCTCCACTGGGTGGCCGAGGGTCCGGAATGCCTTGCACTGCCAAGGTTCCCAAAATAGAATGGGGTGGACAGCTGCCGGTCCAGGAGTGTCAGGCAGGGGGCTCTTCCCTGGAGCTGGTTTGGGGCTAAGAGACACTGGGGGGCAGGCGGGCAGCCGCGGTCTTCTCCACCACGAAGCCATAGTTGTACTGAAGTAGGGTGAGGGGAGAGAACAGTGATGAAGGGGTAGGGGAGTGGGGGGAGGGGCCGGTGCCTGAGGAATGGTGAGAGGTAGGGAAGCACTAGGAACGGAGGGATCTTGAGCCCTCGAGGTGGGATGTAGCTGGGATCATGGGGGCCAGAGGGAGACTGAGGTGGCCTGCAGCCCCCAACCCCACCCCCTCCCCAGCTCTGCACCTACCTCCTCCTCGATGTCTGCCAGCGACTTGATAGTCAGATCAGCAAAGGCAGAGAAGGCCTGGCAGGCAGGGGCAGGTCAGGCCCCAACCTGGAACCCCCATTCCCTTATCTTTAAGGAGAGCCTCCTCAATATTTGCCCAACCGTCCTCTCCCCCAACCTGCCATGACCTCTAGCCACCAGCATCCAGCCGCCCTTCTGGACTCCCTCATTCCGGGAGACCCTCCAGCCCCCACCCCTTGGTCTCCAGCCTCCTCCAACCCAGGAACTCCCCTCCATGAGTCACGGATGATGCTCCCGGCGTTCTGGTGCCTAGCAAGGCAGTGGGCAGGGGCTGACCCAGATTCCCCATGACCCTAACTCACCAGGGGGCCACAGCTCTTGCCCTCGAATCGGGGGTGCAGTGTGAAGGGAACCCCATCCATGGCTGAAGAAAGCAGGTGGGAGGAAGGAGCTGAGGCAGCCTGCCTGCTGCCCATCCCAACCCAAGACGCCCACCCCAAAGGTCCCAGCTCTTCCCAGTCTTTACAGAATCGGGGAGGCCTAGGGATGGTCCAACCTTGCCCCTGCCCCTTCTGGACTATACAACCTCCGGCCAGTCTCACCCTGCCCCCACCCCTGTGCCTCAGTTTCCCTGTTCTGTGCTCACCTGACATGCCGTAGAGGTTGGAAGCCTCATAGATGGAGTCGCTTCTCCGCAGGGTAGACGCCCGGGAGCCCAGCCTTGACAGCGTCCGCTCCGGGAAGCCACCCTTGCTGGTGGAAGCAGGACAGCCCAGGTTAGGCCTGATGCCATTCCCCTTCCATGGCTGCTCCCATCCCTGAGCCCAAGGACTCACCTGGGCTGTCCAGGCGGGTCCAGGGAGAGGTCCCTCATATCTCGGCTGAGAGCTCGGGGCTTGGGCACTGGACGTGGGGCCTTGGCCTTCTTGCACCAGATGGCAAAGCCACCCATGTCCCTAGAGGAGGAGGAGAGAGGAGGGGCTCTGGTCTAAGATGCAGCCAGGGCTGAAAATAGCTGGCAGGGGAGGCAGGCTTCTGGGTGACCTCACATCTCAGCCAACACTGTCAGCAACATACTAACCAATGTTGCCGGGTTCAGTTACCATACTAGGCACTTTAGACACATCAACGCCTTTATTCCTCATGACCACCCTACAAGATTGGTACAACTGTCCCCATTTTAACATGTGGAAACTGAGGCCCAGGGAGGTGGCAGAAGGGAAGGACTCATGGGAATCCTTGAGGATCAGAGGTGGAGATGAGACTTGGGGGGGTGAGGAAGGAGGCTAGAGACCGAGGGAGCAGCCCTACCCTACTCGCAGGTAACCAGGAACCGTCTTGGTCTTCCCACTCAGCCGGACGTCAAATACAGCCGTGTCTGCGACCCCCAAGGGCACCAGCTTCACACACATGCGTTTCTTCTTGGACACAGAGGCCTCTGGGAGTGGGAGGCAAGGAGGAGAATGAGAAAAGGGAAGAAGAAACAGGGCAGGGGCCCAAAGATGGCTCCAGGATGATGCTCACCAGGGTGCTGTTTAAAGCAGTCACTTGAATGGTGTTAGGACAGTGGCTAAATCACGAATGGTAAGGCCAGAGGAGGGGACTCCATGCAGCTTTTAGGAGCCATTGGGGCAGGCTCATCTTTAGTGACATGGAGGAGCATCCATGGGGTGGCCCTGGGTACCACAGTGAGGGTGGATAGCTGTGGGATCAGACAGAACAGGGTACCCAGCCTGGCCCCCTCCAAACTCACTTTCTCTCAGCCCTCTAATCCAGGGTTCAGCAAACTGCAGCCTGTGAGCCAAATCCGGTCCAAAGTCTCTTCCTCTATGGCTCATGAGCTAAGAGTGGTCTTTACATCCATACATATATGTAACAGATACCACCTGGCCTGCAAAGCCTAATATATTTACTACCTGGCCTTTTACAGAAAAATTTTGCCAAGTCCTGTATCAATAGATATATGCTAAGAGTTAAATATAAATGACAAGACATGATGGGGGCATGCACGGGAGGCAGGGAGAGCCTGATAGTTAGAAAGCAGAGCAGTCACGGCTGGGAGGACAACACTAGGGCAACCGAAGCCCGTGTGCAAAAGCCTGGAAATGAAAAATAGAACTGCGTGTGGTTCAGCTTGGCTACAGTGTTAGGAGACGGAGTAGTAACAGTAACAAAACAGGTTGCATTGACTGGACTCTTACTCTAGGAAAGAGACTGTACCAACCCCACATTTTTACCCAGGGCAGGACACATCGTCCCGCCCTAGATCAGGGCTCTTTAGTCCTCAGCCAACAATGTCGTCACCCAGTGCACCGAGAGGGCGGCCAAGACTCAAAATTCGCGCACCTGTGGTCAGTCCATTCCCTCCCAGGTCCTCCTCTCAGGGACGCGAACGTGCTCCCCGACTCCACCCCATCCCACCCCGCTACATTGTCGACGCGAGACTCACTGGAGTCCAGGGGGATCACAGACTGGGGAGAATCCTGGCGGGAGGGGACTCTTGTCCACCAGAACCTGGATATCGACCACCACATTCTCCTGTGGATTCTAGGGTGGAGGGGGAGACACACAGCGAGTCACCCAGCAGCAGAGACGGCGCGCCCCGAGAATGGACAGCGCGAGTAGGAGGATCCCGGGGATTCTGAAGGCAGGCGCCACTTACCTCTAGGCTGCCCAAAGGATTGAGGCACAGGAAGTAGCCAGATTTCTGCCCGAAGGTCTTGCCGAAGCTAGCAGGAGCCCCCTCCACGGTGCAGGAAATCTAAGGTGCGGACGCTGGTCAGCGCCAAGCTCCTACCCGACCGCAGCCGCCTCTGTCCCCATTAAAGCCCCCGCCCTGGTGCCGCCGCATCTCCCTTTACTTGTCCCGCGTCCCCCGACGTCGCTCACCGCACTGAATCCCCGCGGCGGAGGCGCGGAGGCCGACGACCAGGCCAGCCCAGCCAGCGGAGCCGCGTCGGTCCCCGGCCCTGGATCCATCCCGTGAGACAAGCGCGGAAGGCGGTAGACCGCCTCGGACCTCCGAGCCGCTGCCCGAGGAGAGTTCGGGCAGATATCTGAACTACAACTCCCAGAAGACTTTGTGAGGTCGGGGCCGGAAGCGCCGTATGCGCGTGCTGGGAAAGCGACCCGCCAATGGCATGGAGACAATAAGCCACGCCCCCCGCCCTTCCCGCAAGTGCACCCGTGAGCGACGTTTGCGGAAAACTGTCTCGCTTTCTTCTCAGGCCCAGTAACTTCCGCCGGAAATGTCCGGGCTCAACGCTTAGAGATTCGCTAGCTGCAAACCAGAACTGCGCTCCCCAGAATTCCTTGCGGTGTTAGCCTGTCCTCCAGAAACACAGTGGGTGTTTCCGGGAAATTGGGGAGACAAGTATGAAAAACCCGCAATTCTAGTTCTAGAAAGTCATCCCAAGGAAAACTTCCATGGATTATGCAGTGATTACTTTAACTAAAAATAGGGACCAATTTGAGCCATGAAATCTTGGTGTAACTTGAGGACTTGCTCACAGATACAATAAGGTTTTTTTTTAATGTGATATTAAAGTATTTAGTATGGCTGCTTGCTTTTACACCTTCAGGTGGAAGATATGGAAAGCTAGGGAACAGAATATTATCTAGTTCTGCATGTTTTACAATTTTCTACAATATCATGTGTTAGCCCACCGCATGGTTTTTGTAACAGAGCACGACCCTATTGTTATCAGTGACCATCTGATATCTACAGTGGTGTTTGTAACTACCTCAACTGTATAATGGTTTAAAGAGTTTTTCTCATGCTCTTGCTGACCAGGGTTAGGCTGGAGAGGAGGGAGGCATAGGTGGTCCACCCAAACCCTGGTGGTGCTGTGTGAGGGGATCATGCTCAGTGCCCTGCTTTTGCCCCCAGTGCCCTCCTCATAACCCTGACACCTCAGAAGCGGCAGTGGAGTGTTTTGTGCATCTTGTTGTTCATAGTTGTTGATCCCTGTGGTTTCCTTGTATCCTGTTTTTCGAGCTGCAGGCCTCAGCCTGCTTAAAAGGCTAAAAGCATTTATCAGCCTGACTTTAAACTGCACAAATTTTTCTCTAGAGCTCTTTTCTACAGAGCCTCTTTCTGTGCACCTTTTGTTCTAGGAACAAGAATATTAAGAAAGTCCCAAAGCCAGAGGTAAACTTCATACCCAGCAGAAGGAAGGGGACCATTGTATCTGCAAAAACAAGAAAAACTTTGCAATAATTTGTTACCCTGTATATGATCTCTATGGAAACTAGCTCCACCCCTTGAACTTGAACTTTTGCTATAAATCCCCCTGCCTTCTCTCCCCAACAGGCTTACAGTCTTAGAGGCATTAGCCCACTATGACCTCCTTTGCCTGGCAAAGAAATAAAGCTGCCTTTTCAACTTCATCCAAAACTCTGTCCTTGAGTCACAATTCAGTAAGCAGGGTACAGAGGCTGTGTTTCCACCTGTGAGCTAAGAATGATTTTTATATTAGTGATGAAATAAAATTGTTCTTAAGGTGGGTCAAGAAAATTTTTACCATAAAATTTTCTCTGCTGTTTGGGCCACTACTCGCTCCCCTTTAGTATGTATTGTGCATCTGTAACTGAGCAGGACCCTATGGGGTCTTCCTGGGATAGGTCTGTCACCCCCAACCCCATCCCATGTTCTCCACCTGCCTCTTATTTGTAGAAAAACTAGCCTCATAGGCCTTCCCTGAGTTCTAAAGAATAAATTTAATCAGAGAAGTGGGAAAACGCAGAAGCAAAGGAAAACAGTCAAGCAAGACAAAACAGTAATAGTTTAGCCATTAAACAAAGTCAAGGACCTTTAGTTCCTCCTCAAGGGCTATAGATATTATGAGCCATATTCTTTGAGCCGTTTTGCAAATACTGAAACCATCACCAGGTGGAAGAAGTTAACTGTATGTTGCCCACAAACATGTAGAGCCCAATGGGTTGGAACCAGAAGGTTGATGATGTTGACTCTTGATTACCTCACCACCAACCAATCAGAAGAATGTCCATAAGCTGATCATGTATCCCACAACTCCCACCCTCCCTCACCCCGTCTTTAAAAACCTTTCCCTGAAAGCCATCAAGGAGTTCAGATCTTTTGGACAGTAGCTGCCTGGACTTCTTGCTTGGCGCCCTGCAATAAACAATACACTTTCCTTCACCACAATCCAGTGCCAACAGATTGGCTTTACTTCACTACAATCCAGTGGCAATAGATTGGTGCACGGGTAAACTGACCCAAGTTTGGTTTGGTAACACATTTGCATTATATATTAACTAGATCTCCTTAACGCAGGAATGCCTGCTCAACAGAAAAGCAATTTTCTTCTAGTGCCAGCAAGGGAACTCTTTATGAGATAATAGTCCTTCCTAAATCCTGTAACGGGCCACAGTGGCCCACTACTCACATAATATGTGCAGACCTGGCCTCTGTAAATTGTCAGAACCCTGTCTTGAAAACTATGCAACTGGGCTTCGACTTCTAACTGGCGGAACAGTCCTCAGAACTTTCTGAAAGACTCTCTCTTGGGTTATAATCTCAGATTGACTCAAATAAAATTCTCTAAATCTTTCTTAGACTAACTATTGACTAAATTTTGTTGATATTTGTAAATGGAAGAAAACATCAAAAGAAGAATATTTAATGACATATGAAAATTATATGAAATTCAAAACTCAATGCCCATGAGGAAACAAACATCCTGGAAAAGATAACCCACTGAGATACAGAAGTGAAGAAACTATGGGTCCCCTTGAAGTACCCCATTATTCCCACCACTTTGGAGGAATATTGGTTCCCAACGTCAGGAGTTCTCCCGATGAAATTTGAAACTGGTCCCCATACATAGAAGGCAAGGAAAAACAAAAGAAAGAGGTAGACCATTCCAGGTTGGTAGGTGGTAGCTTTAATCAGCAATGGAACTTATTTATGAGGCTTTTTGGGGGGCAACCACAAGACCAGTAGATCTCCACACTGCTCACCAGAATCTTAAATGTTTATATAGAGGCCTTAACTGGATTCAGTCACATATACTGTTCAGATGGCCTCAACAACACTTTACTCTATCAAAGCTGAGTCTTTGAAAATGGCTCCCATTGTGGGAATAGTGGGTGGAACATGCATTCTAAAGATGGGGAGCAGGAGTAAGGGGCCTCTGATTGCCAGGAGCCACAAGGGTCAACTGACAGTCATGTTCTCTCAATGACCTCCTCCAACACGCCACCCCTCGTGACCGGCTTGTACAATCTGACATGGTCCCCCCTTCTACAACATGTGATGAATGGTCAGCCAGGAGTATCATTAGCATGGAGGGGGCATGTTGGGTGGCTATCCTGAAGGAGATTTAGTAGGGAAACTGAGGATGTGCCTGCACGCGGGACATCTCACAGAAGTGGCCGGACTTATCTGCAAACAGAAATTCCTGCCAAGTGACCCTTCCTCTTCGGAGGAACATTGTTCCAGGAGGAACATTGCTTGCAAACAAGGATGTTTATCTGTTCCTCAAAAGGAACAGGCCTGCGAACAGGAGGGTCTGAAAGCAATAAAGATACTTAGGATAAGGGAGTGAACAGGAGGGTCTGGAAACAATAAAGATACTTAGAATAAGAAAATGACTAGGAGGAATGTCTTAGATGTAGTGCGCTTGCATCAATTCAAAAAATACTGTCTCGCGATGCTTGGTACGGGTTCGGGTTGCTCCTTTGTGTGGGGGGTATAAGAATAAAGAAACCAGAGCCTCGAGAGACTTTTTGCACCACAACCGCTCAGGGATTCATTTCGTCGGGCACA